GTTTCCTGGTAAAAAACTCTTTTTACTAACAAGATGTGAAGTGGGGAAAAACTCGAAAAGAGTATCAAATGGTTTGGAGAAAAGGTTCATTCTGTAGTAAATACTATTAAAACAGATGTATAAACAAAGTAGATGAGCTCACTTCGGTACACCCGCTATTTTATTCCAATTAATCTGACTAAAAACTAAGGTCTCCAATGAGTCTATCCTTAGGCGTCACTTTCAGCCATATTTCTATTATATCTACAAATTCAACAAAAACACTTAAAATAAAAATCGTTTCCAATAATTAGTCGGGTTGTGTTGCATGAATCAGTTACGAAGTAGGCATTTTTAAAAAGTATTCAATTAATTGATCAAAAAAGTACATCGAAATAAAATATATTTATGGCAAGTGAGTTACTAGTATGAGGTAAAGATTATAACAGTATTAGAAAATCTGATAATGGAAGCTAATAGATCTAAAGTGTTCGCTTCCAAGGATTCCAAAGGAACAGATAAAACTTCAAAAACTAGATATATATATTGGAATAATATTTTTCAACCGAGAAAAATTTAATACTAAGGACGAAAATGTCAACGAATAGTTTATGAGAGTGAAAGTGGACATTTAGTAGGATCGTCGTGAAAGGAATAATATTCGATCAATTGGTAAATTAATATCAATTAATGCGCACAAAAAATGTGCCAATTAGATGGAGCGCTACATGTTTACTCTCTGCTCCGCAATTGAATAGCGTTTGAGATCAACGTTAGCGTAAAAATAATGGGTAATTCCAAGGGTTACAGGGGAAAATATTCAGATACAAGATACGCTCTAGATATCCAGGTGATCCAAGGTCAAACAGTTAAGCCACCCACGTGCTTTTCTGTTCTTCTAAAAGGGCGAGTGGAAGGGATTGTAAAATTGCTTGATCGGAGGCCGATGAAGGATTGCCTTGCAGTTGTGAATACTGCATTACGCAAAGTAGATCTGAACTTACCGTCCTTCAGTTTACGTTGTGTAAACACCTAACCTGTATAATCTAGTCTAAGGGTTTCGGATCAAACAAAAGAGATAATATAAAATGATATATAATCGGCCGAGCGATCCTTACGTTTATCCCAAGGAAATATGAATCAGGGTGAAGAATGAGTCCAGAGTGTTTAGGCAGACAGCGTTAAACCAGAAGTGGGTTGACCTAGTTGTCGCAACTTGGTCTTGTTGTCAGGGCGACTATGTAAAACGCATCTAGTCCAAAGTAGTCTGTCATAGTAGTTGTCATGATTCCAATCATCTGACATTGGACTTGCTACATTCTCAAACGTTTCGCTGGTATCGTAGTCGGCATCATCAGTGAGTTTTGCCATTCTCCGCACCAAGCTACGAGCTCG